CCGAGATCTTGGCGAGATATTTCAAGACACCAGCATTTGACTGTTTCTAGAGTGCGAAAGTCAATTTTCAACTTATTATTTCCAAATGGAATTCTGCTAATGATTTGTGTTTCTTAGGGCCGCCAGCTTACTATGCGCTATTTTTCCACGGTATTGAATATTAAAACACTGCACTGGATTCCGCGAAGCCGTTGTTGAACTTGCGGTATATATTTTGGGCCTCAACCTGGGATTAACTGGTCTCTAAGCGGGCATGTAGTGTATGGTTCCTGACTTTCTAGTGCCTCTACTAACTATTACTGCGGGGAAACCCTAGTACCCTCCAACTAGCCCAACTTCCCCATCAGCCCATCTATCGACATATCTACCCTTCCACCGCTGTCCATCCGCCCTAAATCAGTGTCATCTACACCATTTACAGTAACAAAAATTTTGCTACAGGACTTATGCGGCCGACGGTTAGTGGTTAAAGAAAAGGATTATGACATTGAGGATGATGAAACTAGCGATAAATATTGCCAAATTGGTTTACAGTCGATTATATACATTGCAACTCCCTCGGAAGCTGAATGAGCCACAGCTATGAATATCACATACGTTTATTACAAAGCGCCCTTTTAATCAAATCGATTTGGCTTAGCACTACTCAGAGCTTCAGGGTTTCTCTATTAAAAATTCAATCATCATTACTTCTCCTACGACCGAGGTAAGCAGCTACATGCCTACCTTGTAGTTTCTGTAACATCTTTACCTTTGAAATTCTCGAAGATGTGTACTCAGATTAGTTACTGTTATAAGGCTATGCATGAGGCTAGCTAGCATCAATAGGAATTTGCCGTCGCAGAATTTTTACCAGAGCACTTCCGAAAATTGCATTTTTTTTCTCAATTAGCAGAAATTGTAAAAACATTGAGCGCAAACGGAGTAGGGTTGGAATTCCATGCCGCGCTACAATCCCTACCACTGCAGTGCCGTGATCCGCCGCCCTTAGCCCTCAGCCCTAAGACCTATGATCTGCGACAGAGACACGTGAACGCGTCCTGAAGCGATCTGCTAGACGATCAGCTCTTTTGATTTTTGTGCCCCTCACCTGACTGCTCTTGCTCGTTTATTCATCTTCCATCTTCTGCCACTTTCAGAAGTAATCTTCACCGCGATTACTGAGCCCCCTCCGCAGAGATGAAAGGAGCACTCTATTCACTCAACCCCACACCCCGGAAACGGTTCCGGGGTAGACCCTAGGTGCGAACCCAACCGGAGATGCTGGTACTAAAACGGAAACCGTCCTCCGCAAGCTCAAGGACACGAGGACACGGGAAAAAGCTTGTGGATCTTAAGTTTATGCACTCTGGAGTCTGTATCGTGCAGAGTTTACCCCAAAGTGCAACTATAGTTTACCCCAGAAAAGCCCTCGTCACTGCAGAGTCTACCCCGGAATACCAGCCCGTCACACCGAGTCTCCCCGTGGAATGCTAGGCCGTCACACCGAGTCTCCCCGCAATAACATGGTTTCATCTACACACCGCATTCGTTTTGTTTTGGCCGTTGTCGATCCTAAAACAACACCAGCTGGAAGAGTATTGATGGACTTGTCTCAGAACGTATCTTGCAAGCCAACTGTCACCCAGCTTAGGCACGTGTGGCTTGTATCTGGGAGTGATGTATATAACTCGCCGCTTCGCCCGCCGCATCGAGAACGGTGAACTTGCATACAGCCTATATATTCGCAGCGACCCAACGATCCCACAACCGACATACTCTAGCCACCAAGAACAAAATCAAGACCCCCCCCCGAGTCTCCATAATGCGGTTCCCCACAACAACGAAGTCGCTCATACCAATGACGCCTCTCCTCCTGTCGGCGCTCAGCCCGTTCGCGCTCGCCGCGCGCCCGTTCGTCGTTTCTTCATACGGCGGTGTGCTCACCTCGGCAGTCCTCGCCAACGATGGTACAATCCAGGTAAAAAGCACCAACAACGAATCGCGCCCCTCACCCTCTTGGTTCGAGCTTTCCACGAAGCAGGCGAAGCTCTTCACGGTTGAAGAAACTACAGTCACAGTGCCCAGCGAGGGCGCCGTCACCTCTTACAGTATCGACAGCGCCGGTAAACTGACGAAGAGCTCCACAGCGCACGGGCTCGCGCGCCCCGTCTCCCTCGCCATTAGCCCCGATGAGAGCATTATCATGACGGCCAACTACGGCGCATCGGGCGTCAGCGCCTACAGCCACGACGTCAATACCGGCGTCATCACGCATCTCCAAGACTGGAAGTACACGCTCTCCGCCACTGGCACGGTTCCGGTGCGCCAGGATGCTCCTCACCCTCACCAGGCGCTCTTCGATCCCAGCGGCCGCTTCGTCCTCATTCCCGACCTCGGTGCGGACTTAATCCGCATTTTCGAGGTGTCGAATGGCACTGTAACCCCTCACGACCCCATCACTGTCCCTGCCGGCACTGGTCCGCGCCACGGTACTTTTATCGATGACTACTACTATCTCGTCGGCGAGGTTTCCAACGCTGTGCTAGTTTACTCCACCTCTATCGGATACGGGGGTGAGTTCACCATGGAACTTCTTCAAGACTCCTCTACCCTCCCGACGCGCACCACCCCCGGCGCCGGCGCTCCCAACACCTCCCCGTCCGCCGCTGAGATCGCGGTCGCCCCCGCCGGCGACTTCGTCTACGTCTCGAACCGCAACGACAAGGTGTACGCCAACACCCACAGCATCGCCCTCTTTGAGCGCGACGCGGACACGGGGCTGCTGACGAACAAGGCGTACATGGACTCCGGCGTCAAGACCCCGCGCCATATCAGCATCGACCCTAGCGGCAAGTTCTTGGTCGCCGAGGGCGCTGACAGCCAGAACCTGAAGGTCTTCTGGCGCAATGAGGACGATGGAACGATTGGCGACACGCCGACGGCGACGCTGGCGGTTGCGGGCGGCCCCGTCTGTCTGCAGTGGCTGGATCAGAAGCTGATTGGCGGGTATAGACGTCGCGGGCGTGGCCGTTACGTGTAGTGGATTCATGCTTCTGGGTTAGTGGTGCGCGTTTTTTTGTACATAGTTCTGCTTTTCCATATACATATCCCTTTTTTTTTGTGGGCTTTTTGCGTCGTTTTGGGTTTTGGCTTTCGGTATTGAAGGGATGGCGGTGCGGCAGGCCGCGGGAAATTTGCGGTTTGCTAGGAGGGCTGTGATATAAATAAGAGGTACAGTATGGGCACATACATGAATAAATTTTAGACTCCCGAACTCTCCTCCGCTATCCGTCTATCCGTCATGTGACAGTCTAAACCCGTCTTATTCATGAAGAGGACTACTGTGAATCTGATAGTTGACTTCAACAGAAGAAAAGGTTGTCGCCAGTATTTCGAGCCATGGAATAGAGGTGGAGACCAGGCGTTGAAATAACAACTGGCACCTGTGTGTTCAGTTATCACCATCACCGGTGTACGAGTGATAGGTTGGAGATGTCTGGCGGGTTTGTGAGCTGTGGCAGTGCTGGTTTTTAGAAAATACTATCATGCCTACCAACTTACCACATGGTAGCATGGCCGCGGTTTCGTTAGCTAGGAAGCAGTCTATTCTGGTACGACATGTCGTCAGGTCCCGAACACCTTGAACTTTTCTAGACGTGCCCAGCCGAACATGGTTTCCCAATCCGGAATTTCTCCGTGCCTGTGATGGAGGATTGGTCCACCGCAGAAACGAGATACTCAGAGTGGACTAGTTAGATAATGAGTAGGCTGGGCACTAGACAATTGCAGAACCAACACGCGTCAGCACCAGGTATCACTCGCTTTCATCGTGATCGAAAGAGTCAGAGATTGCGAATACTGCAAATAAAGGCTACACACTCCTAGGCTGAGTTTGACGCAATATATATAGGTAAAACTGGGCTTTGGATAGCTGGAGAAGCGGAGTAGAATGGCGGGCTCGGTGGAGCTGTACTTGTAACACGTGTCAGCACCAGCGCTCACTCGCTAGGATCGTGATGGAAATATACCAGAGTTGGAGTTTGCGAATACTGCGAATGTTGCGCACTCTTCAGATGTACTTGAGGTCATAGATGTAGGATTCTGGATTGTTGGATGACTAGAGTAAAAGGGCGGGCTCGGTGGAGCTGCACAACTGAGTCCTGCGGATCTGTAATTACCGACAAACTGGATAGATTGTCAGCTTTGGAGATTTGCCTGGGTATAGTGTCGCGAAGCAAAAGTTACGCTTTATTGAGGATGTGAAATTAAACCAGTGCTTGTTTACCACCAGACGCTAGAGGGTTGCTAGAGATGTAAGAGGACTTCGTTTCGAATCCTCTCGCTGGTCGAGGCATGTGGAAATGTAGAAACTATTTCGAAGGCATCGCTAGAGTTTGGGACTGTTCACAAAGGAAGAGAGAGTGAAGTGTAGCCATGTGTAAAGAATTTTCTCTCCCTCTCCATGTCTGAAGATGGCTGTTGGCACCAGGCAATCAGACTTCACTCACTCGGAAAAAAGCCTTCCGATTTGTCAACTCACATGTTAGCAACTAGATAACCCCGAATCTGTTATCCGGGGGCACAGGCGCTGGCACCAGCACCAGGAGCTCGCCTGAAATTAGACATCATGCTATTTGCACATTGTAAATGCCCACCTCGCATCGACCATAAAGCTTCTAGGTATCAACTACATATTGTGTTCCCTTGCCTTTTCTGTAGCTATTATTACATTAGTATCTAGACACCCATACGCACGGTGAAACTTCCATCCGTATATGTTTAACCCCCACCACAGCCACGTGTGTCTCGCGACCGCTACGGTATCTATTAAATTGATTGGAGCTTCAGAAAAAAGGGATTCCAACTCTCGTATTTCAGTGATCACATAATATTATACAAGCTGAGGGCACGCAGTATAGGTTATCACCATTAGCGCATCCACTTAAAAGATCGATCTGCATCTTGAATTACCAATAAGTGTATATATGTGGTCAGAGTGACCCTTTGTCATCAAGCGAGCCTTGCTAGCTCAATTGGCTAGAGCGTGAGACTTTTACGAACCTTCGTTCAAGTAATCTCAAGGTTGCGGGTTCGACCCCCGCGTGAGGCTTCGATATCTTTTTTGTCCCCTTTTTAAGGTTTTCCTGTTTTCGGTTGATATCTTTTGCCATTCTTACGGGCTGTATATAAGAGGTACTATGGAAGTTGGAGGAGTCGTATTTTACGATACGCGACTAGAAGGATTATGGTGAGGACATGATTTAGTGGCGACATATAAATGGATCTTTTCTAGTTTGCGGCGTCTAAAACATTACTGCTAATCGGTTATCTCAGTGGTATCTTCATCTTCGGCCTATCATGTACATCTTGGTTATTTCACATCTCGGTGGCTGTCCAACTGGAAAGTAACACAATAGCTGCCTTATTTAACTTTAGAGATTAGTACTGTAGACTGTGCGTCTATATGGAAAGGTGTTGAAAGTGGGTATTGTTCATTCGTTATAAACAAAATTACGTGCAGTCCGGCGAGTGAATTTAGACTCACAGTGGGCACATTCTAATACGAAAATTGCATGTCTTACTCTCCATACAATTCTAATCTCTAATTCTCGTCGATACCCGAGACCTGCTATAGTAATCTTCCTGTTACTAATCCTCTTATCTTCTATATAAAACCCATCCTCCAGAATGCGCGTGCGCCACATCAAATCAACGTTCTAGCTCGAGCGTCACGTCAGCCGGCGAAACTTAATTCCAAATTAATCATGACATGGATACACATGTTGATGCGCCCTTCCTCGGCTATGTAGTCAACTCTAATCAAGCAGGTATTCGTAGTTTGTCGGCACAAGCTCAGCCTTGCATGCTGGATGGCGCTCGCAGTCGACGTTGACAGTTACGCGCGGCGCGGGGTCGGCCGAGACCTTGGCGTTGCTTGTTTGTGCACCGCCCTCGCTTCAAAATCTTATGTAAGTCCCGCGTTTGTTCTCGTACGAGTCATTGCGCCTCATAAACTACTGTTTCTTGAACATGAGCTTATTTCTTTAATGTTAATGGAATCTTTCATTTAGGGGGCAAATTTAAGAAATAAGGTTGTAGCTCAAATATTCACAAAGGATCACTCGGTTATGTGCCAAGGAGGCCTTGGCAAAATGACATAGGGGGCTCGACTGGGGAACTGAAGCTCAACTTTCACACAACACAACCTCACGATAAAGAATATTTTCAATGGCTTCACACTCATCATCATCTTGATTCTGTCTTCTTTCTCTAGCTCGTCTCGCTTGATAGGTGATGGCTTCCGTTGCTCCGGTTACCATGTGTGTGGCTATCGCCCTGCAGCCACGCCTCACAGCCCGAACGGTCATGTCAACTTCTGGAGTTTGAAGGGTGATCGCCCGAGGAAGGTGTGTTGCGGCTCGTCGACGTCGCCTGGGACGAAAAGTACCGGTCACATAGAGAAACAGCTGCAGGAGATCTACGTAACTCGCTCAGGGATCATGAAACTACCGAGAGCGTACATGACCGGACGGGACGGAAGTCACTTAAGGTTAAAACACGACGGATGAAAAAAAAAGAACGAAAAAACAAACAGATGGATGAGTGCAAGCACAATAATCCGGACGGTGCTTATGTGACGTTTAGTCGAAACCATCGCAAAAACAATGGCTGATTGATTATCAAGAAATATTATGAACATGAGCCTTGCGAGTACATACCTGGGTTTCGATACCCAGTTTGCAGCTGCAGGGCCCTGTACTAATTATTTGTATTTATATCCTGGCTACGGTTGTTACACTCAGGCTGCTGTGCGTCTGGTACATACCTCACTTGCGGAGAGAATATTCCTCCGCCAAATTTAGGCCAATCGATCTACAACGTTACTAGAGCTGTCTAATTTCCACACACCAAGAAAGAACACATGGTGGACGTTAACGCAAGGATTGCAAGATTGAGTGTCTGCCGCGTAAGACGATGAACGTCGAAAAATTACTGCAAGAAACACGAGGAGGCTAGTAATGAGTCGACATGCTTACTGCTTCGACTAGGAACTCTATACAGACTACTGTCGACTCAAATTGTGTGGCTCATCTTTGATGTATTGTGCGACGTACTGATAGCTGTTACAGTAAGGTTTATACTGCAAGGAACGTTTCCTGGTAAAACGTATTCAACTTATATATGGTTGAGCTCTCGCCGGGTTTTACTTGAAGCACACACACACAACTGGAGTTTGAAGCAACTTTCAGATACACTATTCAGTTCTTCAACCCTATCCGAAGTTCAATACCTAAATCACTCACAATGGCCGGATCCGATGACTCGGCTTGGGAATACGACCCCTCCCTCCCCGCCGCAGCTCTTTTCGTTGCGCTCTGGTCTCTGACCGTCTTCCCGCACATCTACCAAATGTTCGCCACGCGAAAATGGTACATGTGGACGCTCATATTTGGCGGCGCATGGGAGCTGGTTGGGTTCATCTTCCGCATCCTCTCGATCAAAAACCCCACCTCTATCGGCTACGCCGCGCCGCACCAAGCGCTCATCATCCTCGCGCCTATCTGGATCGCAGCATGGGACTACATGACACTTGGCCGCCTGATTCACGTCTTCCTGCCGACCCAACGCGCCTTCGGCCTCCCCGCACGCCGCATCACCCTGCTCTTTGTTACCGGCGACATCGTATCCTTCCTGATCCAGCTCGTCGCCACCAACTTCTTGGTCGGCGACGACGAACCCTCGGCGCACGACATTAAACTCGGCACCAATATCATCATGGGCGGCCTTGCCCTGCAGCTCCTCATGTTCGCCTTCTTCATCGCCGTGTCCGTGCGCTTCGAAGTGCTCTACAACCGCGCCTTTGGCCGCGACGGCCGCTCCCGCTGGTTTGCGCTCATGAAGTGCCTGAATGTAAGCTGCGCCTGCATTGTGCTCCGAAGCGTGTACAGGATCGCGGAGTTTGCGAGCCCGTACCCAGGCCCGCTGGTGACCCACGAGATCGCGTTTTATTTGCTGGAGGCCCTGCCGATGCTGCCGACGCTGTTTTTATTTAATTGGTGGCACCCCGCAAAGGTGATGCCCGGCCAGGAGGGCAGCTTTCGCGCGGAGAAGAAGCGGTTGAAGATGGAGAGGAAACAGAAAGCGGCGGCGGAGTCGCAGGGGGATGTGGAGATGATGGGGGCGAGGGAGGAGACGAGGACAACGTAGAGTGCAAAAGATGAGGAGGCGTGGGTTTCATTTGTGAATAGCACGGGAGCGGCGTATGGACTGCTTTTTGAACTGGATAGACGTGGTGAAAATAGACAGATAGACTAATTGACTATGGAATTGAAAATATTTTGATAGACATGCTGCGTTGGTTCAAGAAATGGCCTTTGCGTCCTCTGCAAATCACGGCTCGCATCGCAGGAATTTCTGGAGTGATTGCTATCTTTTATATTGTCGAATCCATGGTCCTTCTTTCAATTTCTACAGCCACCCATGTTACGTACCAACCTAATCTTCTGATTATTATGTCCATCCTCTCCGCAGAAATCCGCAAGATCCCCTCATCCCACATCAAGCGCCGCGCCCGGTACCTCACTCGCAAAGCAAGACTCACCATCACACCGTCTCACGATATAAGAAAGCGCAATAATAACTTACTCAGAAACAGCAACTCTCATTCTCATCTTGATTATTATTACCCAACCTCCTAGTAACTACTAATTCATATCCTCAAAAGAACCCTGAACGCACCCACCCCCAATTTCCAGCCGTTTCTTTGCCTCCTCTACATGTCCCCCCAACAGTCAGCACTCTATTCTCCCATATGCGCAGGTCTCACTCACCGATCTTGAGCCGTCCCGGATGCTCCAGCCACCACACCGGCCAGTACTTCAGGAGTTTGCACGTCCCGCGCGACGCGAAGATGTGTGCTTTGGCGCAGTCGTAGGACGAAAACTTGAGGGTTTCCGTGTGGGTGGTGCTAGAACCGTGGCAGACGAAGAAGAAGGCCTCGGCGCGGTTGGCGGCGGTGGTGTCAGTGGTGGGAGGCATGGTAGCTGTTGATCTTGATAGTGGGAGTTGGTGGATGGTGGATTGATGGAGATTTACGCCGGTGAGAAGTTGGTGGATAGTGGTAGATGGTGGAAACGCTGGGATGCTGGGCAGGATATTGTATTGGGGACTGGCGGTATTTCTAGGCTGTGGTCCTGCTGAAATTGGGGAAATTGGGCTTGCGAGGTGTTTCCTGGTCTAATGTTTTTCTACTGGGAAAAGCTGGGGGTTTCAATGGTGATGATGGCAATAACTATATTTTATCGCAAAGTTCCTGTATAAAAATCGTGTAATTATAGATAACAAACAAGCAAATGAAATGCTGTTCTCTTATTGACTGCCAATGCAATGACCCAGAAATCACTATCCCCCCCCTCCTTTCCTGCCTTTCGTAGTCCCTTTCGGGTTTATGTATGGTCAATTATTGTTTCAACAATTACAATTCGAATATCTAGGTGAAGAAATCAAGTTGTACTACTTGTTTATATAAGGTTTCCACACTGTTCCGATTTTGTAGGCCGTTCCACTAAGCACGATGAACCGCACCATCTTGAGATCTCTTTCCACGGCAATCTTCCGAATTACCGGCTAATACCACAAGTACTCGTTTATGCACTTGGTAAACAATCAAAAACTCTTCGTATGCCAAATAAGCTTTCGAAACTCTATAAAACAGCCTTGCTAGCTCAATTGGCTAGAGCGTGAGACTTTTAGGAGACATCGTTCTTCTGAGACATCTCAAGGTTGCGGGTTCGACCCCCGCGTGAGGCTTGCCTATATTTTTCGCATTTTGCCATTCAGTTTGAAATGATTTGGATTGTGTTTGGTTATGGGCGCGGTCGACTAGCACTTTGCAGTGGTGGTGGTTGTGTTGAGGGTAGACCATCCAGATTCCAACACACGACACCTAGACGTAACTCACCCACGCCCTCGCCACCTTAATAAACCAAAACTCTGGCAACCACCTTCCTCGTTACCCTTATTCTCACACCCCTCACTCCCTTCGTCCTCGAAATGCACCCAAGGGTTTTGTGCGTGGTTTCTATTAACAATCAGCTAGGCGTGTTTGAAAGTTTCAATATGCATTTCCGCATAGCACTTCGAAACCCGGAAAAAAATAATGAAATTCATTTGGTGGTATAAACTCTAGAGCATATTTTGCTGCACTCAATGCTGCTCTCTGATTATATATAGTGTTAGTACTGGCTTCATAGTCAGTTTATAAACAGGATATAGTGGGTAATAACCTCGAGATGGTCATAACATGGGTAGACTTCAATAAACCGTTTAACCATGGGTATTTTAAAGCTCGGTACCCGGCGCTCAGTGCTCAGTGTTGCCAAATGATGAACATCTCTAAGGTTTGGGCTGAAAAACTATTGCTGCTAGCCTTCGTTGACAATCTCTTTTCTGCAAGCAATGATCTGCCCGTGTGTCCCTTATTGTTGGCCTGGCATGGCGTACCTTATGAACTGGTAGCTCATATATCGCCATCGCTAGGTCAAATACTGGTCGAAACCTTCGGATACAGTGTTACCTTCTTGTTGAATGGTTGCTGTTACTGATCTGGTTGGATTATTTGTCATGCAGCCTTTTCTCGCTGTGGTTGAGCTCTCCAACTCCTTTCCTACTTAGTGAAGTCGGTGTGAGTTCTCTGTGTGTGAATCTACTATCTAGACAGCAGGACCATTCTGTGAATAACCTGTAGATATTTTGTGACCGAAAGACCATAACTAATACTTCTTTGCCAGCCAAATACATGTGAGTTATCATCATCCTCGCTTCCATAGAGCTAAGTTGTTGGCCGGTAGTAAATATTCACTTCGCCCAAGGTCCTCTAAATGATCGGCTTGATCAACTACCGCCGGTTCAACAATCTCAAGGATATCTCGCCCTGGGCTATGCAACTGGACGTTTATTTTCGATAAAATCGCACATAGAGCATTCTATATTCTAAGCAGATTCGTTAGCATCTGCATTTTAACATTCTCTTTCTGGAGATGATTTCCTACTTACTCCTCACTCCTAGTAGGCAGGTAGACTTTGAGTGTTAAAAGTTGTCGCAGGGATAAATTTGATTACCTGTCAACTCTTGGGTACCCTTGCGTATTTTTTCCACAACTCCTGTAGAGTAGCCAATACTTCAATTTTTATGGGTAAAGTTGTTGACTGGATAACCAGATTACAGGCGGAGTAACTGTCTAGTCGACAAAAAAGTTGGAGTGTCCATTGTTGTGTCGAGTGGTCCATGGATCAACAGCTCCCAGGAACAGTCCAGTTTGCTAATGGAGACCGTGAATTCCTATCCACTGACCAACCAGAACAAGTCCTAATGGAGAAAAAACATGATTATGACAGTTTAATACGTTTTTGTAGCGTCAAAACACCATAAAGCAAATCTTCATGTAATCTCGTTCGTCGAGCACGTAAAATGAATTTGTCTTTCGGGTGATAAACGGGGTATGAGCAATGATACGACCCAGATATGAGACTTTGGGTAATTTTCCATAGTTCTTCCGTGTCTATTTCGGGTTGAAAGTTCCTCCCGTCATGAGAGCTGGCGGCGTGCTTGCGTCACTGTTCATCACTCACAGCTGTATCATCACACGGAAGGAGAACAAAATCTTTTTGATATGAGACTGCAATATACAAAGTACTGCGTAAGACCAAGTATAGTCTCCATTGATTAAGCCTCCGTCTCATCTCTTAACCGCATCTCCAACAACGGCTGCTCCTCCGGCACAATCGGCAACACCTGCAGCCTCAGGTGCAGTTGATTTGAGACCACGTCGAATAGTAAAAAGATGGCGAGCAGCAGAAAGGAACAAAGGAGCACAATAGATAGAGCTGGTAAATGCTGGGGAACGTGTTCTAGGTTGAGGTGCGGCATCGTGAGGATTCGAAGTTGAAATTGGTGGAAAAGAATCAACTGGAAGAAAGGAGGGTCCCGAAAGCTGTATCGTTAGACTAGACGTTATGAATTGAGAATATAGGCTTCGCAAGTAGAAGTGCTAGGTTTAGCCAGCTGCCATGGCTATAGGCTGTGGAATGTCGTGGAATACACAGGTAGAAGTTGTCCAGTCAGCCGACGACGGACTTATCGTAGTGGCCAAGTTCTTTCTCAGCCTTTCTGATTTCATATCTAGACAAAAACATCACACTTCATCTCTTTAACACCCAAGAGATTCGAAACACCATAAATTACGACTAACAGAACCGCCCGTAGTAAGTAAATCTCTAATTTTTAAATATGCATCATTGCAAGTTTGGTGTAAAGAGTGCTTTGCATTCGGCCATTCAATTACATCGGATGCTCCGTTGCCATGTGATAGAGGTGGGTACTGCTTTATATGCCAACTGATTGACGGCCCCCCTTCAAACCTTTCAACAACACCGTTTCACTAACTGCGCTCCTTAGTGGTTGCGCAACGACCCGCCCTATCGATTAATTTAAGCCCCAGGCCTAGTAACGTGGTACTTCCACTGTTTACAAATAGCAATCGATTAATTTCTAGTTGGTAAGTCAGCGCTGAATTATGGTATGTCGCATGCTTACGTTAGGATCTTAGCTTCGGGATCGATAGCCATCACCGGACCTATCCGTACGGTGGCCCCGACGGCAAAGCACAGTATGACAGGCGAGAAGCGTCTTTTGGGGCAGAGAGGATCCGAATGACGTATTCATAGGTAGGATACTTTTTACTCTGCAATATTATAGGAACCGCGACTAATGCGTAGCTGCACAGAGGAAGACTATTCGGAGAGTTGGAGCAGAAGCTACTCAAATCAGCAGATACCGGGCGATGAGAGACTTCGGCAACAGGCGATTAAGAGGGAGGAAGAAAAAAGGAAAGCTGCAGAAGAAGTGAAGCAGAATCCACTCACATCATTGTGCTGGTTGCGAGCGAGCGATCGCAAAACTCTCTCGACAGGAGAAATCTGTCAATGGTAGGAGCAGAAGGTCAACAAGGGCATGGCTGGCCACCAACATCACAATAGCCTATGCGCTGGGAACCTCTAGATGTTAGTCACTTGATGTTAGCCCCTCGTACTATCGCTGATTCTAAAGTTATCTGTCACTAGTATTGGGTGACACAGAACTTATGGGAGTCTCTAGAATGTGACTAAGAATCGTCCCCATCACACACCAACGGTTTCCGGAATCGCCTGCAACATGCCGAAAGAACAGAAAAAAAGATGGAAAGTGATCGGCAATTGCCAGTCATGTCCTCCCAGCCACAGGAGGACATATGGTACATTATATGCGACGCTGTCACCTCTGCTTCCACACTTCCCATCACTCGCAGGCTGATTTTGGCCGTGGTCCCTTCTACGGTTTAAAAGGATACATAGTTCGGCTGCTCTCTCTTTTCACTCCGCAAGTTCGCTTCATCTCCACAGTCTTTTCATCCAGAATCTGTCTTCTCAAAGCAACAAAACCAACCCTCTCAGCCACCCTAAACCAAACTATCCGACATCACTCGCAGGCTGATCTTGGCCGTGGTCCCTTCTACTGTTCAAAGGGAGAGTTCGGCGGATCTCTCTGCGCACTCCGCAAGTTCGCTTCGTTTCTTTGTTGCAAACCCACAGTCTTTTCATCCAGAGTCTGTCTTCTGAAAGCAACAAATCCAACCCTCTCAGCCACCCTAAACCAAACTATCCGACAAGATGCCTGTCCTTTCTCATCGAAAGCCCTGTCCGTGTTACTACTGCGTCTTGGACCTCCCAAATGTCACGCCGAGCCAGACGGAAATCACGAAGGCCTTCAAGAACATGGCGAGGATCTGCCATCCTGACAAGGTTCCCGAAGCTCATAAACAGGCCGCTCACGAACAGTTTTGCAATGTCCAAAAGGCACATTCAGTACTAGGAGACGCCAGCTTGCGCAAGGGGTACGACCTCGACCAGATGCCCAAGTACTATTCAGCCATGGACTTTCAGCAAGACCCCAAGGATCATGGCAAGTATGGCAGAAATCCGCAGAAAAAACAGTACACGTCGCCTGCTCCTCCTCCTCCTCCTCGTCCTCGCGGAAAGTATACAGATACGCCCGATGTCGACCCTGATCTATGGGAGAGTCCTCCAAAGCCACGCCCAGCTCCTAAGTATCGCAGCTCGACGGATCCGTACGGTGGCCCCGGCGCCAAAGCACAGCATGACAGGCGAGGGAAGTCTGTTTGGGGCAGAGAGGATCCGAATGACGAGGCTATAGGTAGGATGCACTTCATTCCGCAATAGTAGAGGAACGGCAATACTAATAAGTAGCTGTACAGAGGATGAATTTTCAGAGAGTTGGAGCAGAAGCCACTCACATCAGCAGAGACCGGTTGATGAGAGACGCCGGCAACAGGAGATCAAGAGGGAGGAAGAAAAAAAGAAACGCCTGGAAGAAAAACAGAGAGCTGCGGAAGAGCTGAAGCAGAAGCACACTCACAGCCTGAATGGTTATACGTGGTGATCTTCTGAAGAAGTTCTATCCGTGGTTCTACGTTTTCAATCATTCCACTTGGCTGTCTAGTTTGTCAGATATTTCTGAAAGGTATTAGGATTGTGAAATCTTAAAATAAAACGGTATTCTGGTTTACTGTGGTTTTATTTTTGCGGTCCTATTTGGTCATGCCATTTCCAGAATTATTTCTGTGTCGTGGCGTTCGTTGGTGTGATTTGGTGCTTCTTCGTTTTTCCATACTACTTCAGACAGCCGGACAAAATTCGATGTATGGAACTTTTCATGACCTCTAATCACTATCTTGTGTCCTTGATTGAAATAA